TGTGTAATCCTCTCTAACCTGTGGCTCTGGTATTGTGGTGATATTCTCAGTTGTCAAGACCTTCTCCTCCTCCCTCTCCTCCTCCTGCTCTTCCTCTTCTTTCTCAGCTACCATGTCTCCTTCCTGGTGGTTGTTGTGCTGTGGAGCCTTTTGTTGTATGATAGTAGAATCAGCTGTGTCTTCAGACAAATGGTCTGGATCACTCTGGTCCTTTAGTGTGCTATACTGACTAGAGCAGTAGTGATCATCTGCTATGGCGATCTCCTCATTTTCCTCTGACTCCAGCTGGCTCTGGTTGAATCTGAGAGCCCCTTTCAGGATGTCCTTAATCTGGGGACAATATGGACAAAATTTGATTTAATTTAATATTAGAGCCAACAGATGTCTAATAGATTTTGTATCACCCTGAATGGGTCTGTGTACTAATTACATGGGTACTTACCAATAAACAAATAAATGAACATAATGAAAATGTATGTAATTTATTTTAGCAAAGCAAAGACCTGATTCATACCTGTTTTAGTCCAGCAAGTGACACCAGAACCTCATCTTCCTTCTCCAGATGCTCCTGCAGTATCACATCTTGAATTTTGCCTGTCCATCAATCAAAGCACAATCATTATGATTCCATCACCAGCCTTTGTTTAGTGCAAAGACAACTGACGGCTCACTCACTCACCTATGTGCATGTTCATCATCTTGGCACAATATTTACTCATGGCCTCTAGGTCGTTAATCTGACCCTGTAAGAACGAAACCTGGACCTCCAGCTCCTCCTGTGTGTAAAAATACACATACATAAATTAGCATACATATAGGACTTATTAAATACAACAAAATCAGGAGCTAGTACATGATATCCTAGTAATTCATATGCTTTATGAAAATAAAAAAATAGACACAAAATCAGAGTCTGGGAATGCAAATGGTACAGTTGAAAATAAACATGCTTACCGCATCCTTTTTGTTTATAGTTTTACTGTGTGACCGTGAGTGACTGATATTAAAGAAAGAGTCTTTCTTTGTGGCAGAGAGGGGAGGAGAAGATGTGCTGGAATCTTGGCCCATGGACACCGGCAGAGGAGGGGAAGACATTGCATGATCCTGCCCACCAGACAAACTCTCAGTGCTGGGGGAGGAGCTAACCATCCTGGAGGTGTGGCCTGTAAGGTAGACATTAAAAGAGCAGTCACAAAAATTAATCTCAGACAGCAACATCAAATGTAACAGAACAATTTCAACAAAACATACAGTAAGCTACATAAATAGCACAAAGAGTTGGAGACAATCACACAGCATGCAGTAAATCAACCATATGTTAAAAAAAACTTAAAAACAGCAGGATCTCACTTGTACTATGAAGATGACTAATAAGGAATATTCACAGAAAGTTCAGAGAATATTTACATTATCATCCAAAAGTCTGGGCTC